TACATACATATTTATATTTCATTCAGCTGGAAATGCATCCATGTTACACCTGCTAATCCTTAAGGCCCAGAGTGACAGAAATGTATTAAATTTGCATCTTTGCATCACCTTATTACACACAGATGTTTATACAAGCCTCATTATCAGTCGCAATGCCTATAAACTGTGAAAGACAATATAAGACAAATCTATTTATATTCTCTTTAATTAAAGGAAAAGTCCCCAGGACACAACACTTCTGAAACACACAGGATAAAAAACATACGCCGCAACACTTCAGACAGATATAATAAGCGTCATTTAAACCCAAACACCCACTACATGAAAAACATAACTCGCTTGAACATTCTAGTGTAAACAAAGTGTACCCATTATGTTTCAGACAGCCAGGTATGCAGATCGGTGTACTCTGTGTATCGAAATGAAATGAAAAACAGTGAATGATCTCGTGTGGGTAGTCAAACTTCGCTAATGTAACGTAACCTGCGAAGTCACAGTGTGTGTGTATGCAAAATGACCACCGCTCTCTGTCTGCATGAGTAATGATGGCATAGACAGGACGTTATCACAGTTAAACACATGATGATTAATAGTAGCTTGAGATAACTTTGAAGACAGCAAGAGTGATTTCAACACAGATATGATGCAACAGATGGCCTAATATGCAGTGAACAAGAGATGAAGAGTGTAAAATAGCTTAGACTAACTGAATCACTTGTACTTAATAGTCACTATATATTAGCCGCAGAATATTCCTCTGTGTCAAAGCACACTGCTTCAAACGAACGCTCATTAATCTTATGAGGGCTATGTTACTTACAAATATTTCCAACTAGCTACCTGCCCCCATGTTGTTGCCATGGATATGAAGAGGTGCAAACAAAAGAACAGATGGTTAAAGGCATGTAGGTGTAGAGAGCAGTCTGCGATGTTTCCCAACTATGTTAAGTGAAATAATTCATCTAACTTACAGTAATTTGATCTGGACCGATGCCAAGTGTGGAGTGGGCCACCGATTTGGCTTCATCAAGTTAATCAAAACTAGTGCTGCTGCTTATTTCTCCTGCAGTAGTCCATGAGGACTATAATAGAGGCAACTCAGTTCTTTTCAAACAATATCTGTCTTTGTCTTCAAGAAAGAACTTGCACTCAGAAATTGTTAGCAAATAATTGCAAAGAAACGGCACGTAACGCATTGAATTAAACATGAAATTTTGAAGTCGAAAGACTGAAATAGTA